TCTTAGGAGGGGTCCTCCGCATCCCTGCTCCCAAGGCCTGGCCTAGTAGATCTCTCTAGTCAGATTATTCAAGGAGAGGGTGATGGAGGTGATGACAGCGATGATGAAGGCCCCAGGAGTCAGCAGGTGGCATTGCCTCTGTGTACCCAGCCATGTGTTAGAGACGGCCCCTAAGCAACCAAAGCCCCTGTCCCTGAGGTGCTTATAATTGTGTGGCAAAGATAACACAGGTGAATCCCTTCGTGGTAAAACAGTCAGAAAACCATCTATCTATGGCCAGTGCAGAAAGCAGGAGGGAGTGAGGCCAGGCATGTAGGGCCACTCCGGAGGGCTTTGGAAGGTCTGATTAGATCCAGAGACCCCTGCCCTCCTCTTGTAGAGAGCTCTGCCCTTCACAAGGCCCTTTCCCAGCATGTAGCTCATATGATTGTCACCAGGAGGACTGTGTAAGGAAGTCAGGGCAGATAAGGATATGGAGGCTCAGGGAGGATGAGTGATTTGCCTGGGGCCATACAGCAAATAATGAACATGGCCATCACTTGACAGGTGATTTGCGCCCTGTGCCCCTCTTCCCCTCTAGCGGACCCCAGTTCTCTGCACCCACGCCTCTCCTTATGGGACCCCAGTTCTCTGCACCCATGCCTCCCCTCCCCCTCTAGAGGACCCCGGTTCTCTGCACCTGCACTTCTCCTCCTCTAGCCGACTCCACTTCTCTGTACCCATGCTTCTCCTCCTCTAGCAGACCCCAGTTCTCTGCACCCGTGCCTCTCCTCCTGTAGCAGACCCCAGTTCTCTGAAAACCATCTCCTGCTCCGGGAATGGATTCTGGGTCCTTGGGGAGCAGTTTAGATGTCAGATCAGAGACTACCAGTGGCATCTGTAGCTTTTTTTTTTTTTTTTCTTTGAGACTGAGTATTGCTCTTTTGCTCAGCTGACTGGAGTGCAGTGGCGGGATCTCAGCTCACTGCAACCTCCACCTTCCGGGCTTAAGCAACCCTCCTGCCTCAGCCTCCCAAGTAGTGGGGATGACAGGCACCTGCCACCATGCCCAGCTAATTTTTGTAATTTTAGTAGAGAGGGGATTTCACCATGTAGGCCAGGCTGGTCTTGAACTCCTGATCTTGTGTTCTGCCCACCTTGGCCTCCCAAAGTGCTGGGATTACAGGCGTGAGCCACTGTGCCCGGCCCTAACTTTAAAACATTTTTTTATTAAAAAATAAAATATTTTTGCCCATGCTAGTCTCAAACTCCTGCCCTCAAGCAATCCTCCCACCTTGGTCTCCCAAAGCGCTGGGATTATAAGCATGAGTGAGCCACCATGCCTGGCCCATTTTTAATATTTTAATATATTGAGTGTGGGGTGACATGGAGTTTCTGGGAGGAGCTGTTCTGGAGTCCTGCGGCTCCCGGACAAGGGACGCAGTCTAGAACTCTACCTTCTTCAAGTGCTACAAAGGGCACAAGGGCCAGAAAATGCCAGGGACCCACATGGGGACTGGAAATATTTTTAGTATTTTTGGGGTGTGGGGTCTGTGGGCCTTCCTGCACCCCAATGAGCTGTGGGTGACCCCAGCTCATCCCAGTGCCACCCAAGATTAGATCTTCTCCAGGGAATCTGATTACCAATATCCCAGTTCTCTCCCTAGCTCCGTGTAAGTTCAGACAATGCGGTTCTGAATTTGTCTAAGGCCTTTGAGCATCTGTTAATATAATACTTCCTTCCTGTACTACTTCTCAACCGCCACCAAACTCAAACGCTGCCTCTCCCTCTCCCCATACCCTCATCAGCCCAGATGGAAGGGCTCCAGAGGCCCCCTCTGTGCCCCTCCAGCCCCGGGCCCCCTCTCGTAGCTCCAGCAGCAGATTGGGCTGTGGCCATTTCTGCCCCAATCCCATCTCATTAACTCTACTATAAACTGTTTATTCACCCGGCCTCCTCCAGAGCACCTGCCCAGGCAGAGCCAGCCTTTGCTGTTTGCTGAATGCGTAAGTCTATTAATCTCTGTATAAAACAGCACTCCTTGTAATTCCTTCAGATTTTACATCACTCGAGTTTCAAAGGTTGCCCGTTTGTCTATTGTGAACAAATCTGTTCTCCCCTCCACCACTCTCTTCCCAAATTTATAGATGTTAACCATTTCTACTCCCAGCTTCACCTTTCTCAGCTAAAGAGTGCTGACCCCTTCAGACCCCTGACCCTGCCCCTCCGGAGCAGACACTTGGTCCCTCTCCCCTGCACCATCCCCTCCTGGACCCTTACTAGGAACACTTTGGAGCTTCATGTACACAAAACAGGATACTGGTTCCAGTCCCCATGTGGGTCCCTGGCATTTTCTGGCCCTTGTGCCCTTTGCAGCACTTGGAGAAGGTAGAGTTCTAGACTGCGTCCCTTGTCTGGGAGCCGTAGGACTGCAGAACAGCTCCTCCCAGAAACTTCACGTCACCCCACACTCAACAGGCCCAACTGGAGACCCTTGTCTTCCACCAAAGAGAGGCTCCTTCCTCCCGGTCAATACAGCCTCCCGGACCGTCCATCTCCTATTCCAGGGTGGCTCTCGGTGCCTCTCAAGAGGCTTCTTTTAAATGAGGATGGTAGAAATACAAGCCATAATATCAGAGATAAAGAGTTCTTTTCTAATTTTTTAAGATTGTTATTATTATTATTTGAGACAAGGTCTCTCTCTGTTGCCCAGGCTGGAATGCAGTGGCATAATCACAGCTCACTGCAGCCTCGACCTCCTGGGCTCAAGCATTCCTCCTGTCTCAGCCTCTCAAGTAGCTGGGACTACAGGTGCACACCACCACACCCAGCTAATTTTTTTCTCGTATTTTTTGTAGAGATGGGGCCTCACTATGTTGCCCAGGCTGGCCTCGACCTCCTGTGCTCAAGCTGTCCTCCCACCTCAGTCTCCCAAAGTGCTGGGATTACAGGTATAAGCCACTGCACCTGGCCAAGACTTCTTTTCAACAGGATGTGCAGTAAATAAGACACAGTAGAGGAAATAATTATGAAGATAAGTCAGTAAAAACTGAAGATAAATCAGTTTTTATATTCAGTCAATTGACTGAAGATACATCAATAAAAATTACTCAAACTGAAATCCAGAAAGGGGTGGTGGGGATTTGTGCAGAACAGAGCACCCAAGAGCTATAGTCCAATATGGAATGTCCTAACATACATGTCATTGGAATCTCAGAAGGAGAAGAGAGAGAGAACAGGGCAGGAGAAATATTTGAAGACAATAATCACTAAGAATTTCCCAAAACTAAAAGATGGACCACAAACCACAGATATTATAGTCAGAGTCAAATTGTTGAAAATCAAAGATAAAGAGAGAAAAAAAATTTTTGAGACAGGGCCTCACTCTGTCACCCAGGCTGGGGTGCAATGGTGCAATCACAGCTCACCACAGTCTCTAATTCCTGTACTCAAGAGATCTTCTCCCCTTAGCCTCCCAAGTAGCTAAGACTATAAGGATGTGCCACTATGACCAGCTAATTTTTTTTTTTTTTTTTTTAAAGAGACCAGGTCTCCCTATGTTGCCCGAGCTGGTCTCGAACTCCTGCACTCAAGGGATCCTCCTGCCTCGGTCTTCCAAAGTGCCAGGATTACAGGCATGAGCCATCACATCCATCTTAATTTTTTTTTTTTTTTTTTTGAGACGGAGTCTCGCTCTGTCGCCCAGGCTGGAGTGCAGTGGCCAGATCTCAGCTCACTGCAAGCTCTGCTCCCGGGTTTACGTCATCCTCCTGCCTCAGCCTCCTGAGTAGCTGCGCCCGCCACCACGCCCGGCTAGCTTTTTGTATTTTTTAGTAGAGACGGGGTTTCACTGTGTTAGCCAGGATGGTCTCAATCTCCTGACTTCGTGATCCACCCGTCTCGGCCTCCCAAAGTGCTGGGATTACAGGCTTGAGCCACCGTGCCCGGCCAATTTTTTTTTTTTTTTGCTTTTGATTTCTAAGCACTTTTATTTTAAAAATGTGAATTATACAATCCCAACACACACAACACACACACATACACACACACACCCCCTATAAGCACATTAAATACTACTTTGCCATGACAGCTCAGTGTACTTCACAATTCTTAACACTATTCTATGTGGAATACAAAATGCCTTTTTATCTGAATTAACATGCATTAGAGTTTTAGTATATGTGAAAATAAAGGAATTATAAATCAGTAGGAAAGATATTAAGGTAGAAGCATCACCAATCAGCTAGCTCAGTAGATGTTATCTATATTTATTTTCTACCTTTATGGAACAAGAACCTGCTAACAATCTTAGGTAAATGGTAAAGTAACATATTTTTGCCTTGATGCCATTAGTCACAATGCCATGAGGTAACTGCTATGTGATTTCCCATTTGCAAGGAAACATATTAATTCCATTTCTACTGAATATACAATTAGGTTGTAGGGACACAGATAGCTCATTTGAGTTATCTGAGTTTTTCATCTTTATATCTAAAAATCTAATCTGAAAATAGTAAAAGCAGAAAACACTGATTTAAAACCTTAGATGCTACTGTAATAAAAGTTATGTTTATAAACATGTCAGTATATTCCTTCAACTTCAAGAATCTTGAATTTCCTTGCTAGAAGGCTTTTTTCCTCAAAGATTCCTTTTAGGCTTACTTTGGTGTTCAGGATCTCCAAGTATAAATGTAATCTCTCAGCACCACATTCCGTAAAGCTGATTTCCCAAGTAATGGTATTTGACTAAGTTGCTCCACAGTGTTAGGGTGCAAACCACAGTTAGTAAGCTCCTTATGAACAACCTCCATTATCAAGTACTTTGTCCACTGGCAGGCAGATGTTAAACACAGCAGTTGGCTAGTGTGGATGTAGTACTGCAGAGAAAGACCCACTCTGTGAAGATTGGAGCAGCGCCGTCAGTGAATGCAGAGAATGAGGCATGATAGGACCTGTAATCTCCAAACTAAACTGGTCTCTGTATCCAGGAAGAGCTTGTGTCTTCACATAGACACTTCGTGCTCCCCATATCCCAAGCTTGTTCCAGATGCTGTCTCCTTCTTATGGCCACTTTCTTTTATTAAAGGCAGAGAAAATTCAATACCTTCATTTCTCATAGCTTCTCTTAAACCTCGAGTTGTAGGAGATATGAGAGCTGTGATGAAGTCACTTCCAGCTAATCCTGCTGCTCGGAACAGGACAGTAAACTGATAGGTACAAACGTAGAAATAGGGGCAAAGTTTTGTCTTCAGCAAATTATATACAGAAGTAAAGCTCACGGATCAGTCACTCATTAAAACATGCTGCAGGGTTGCATCATTTGACCAAGGACTTGTCTTTCCAGCCATTTTTCTATTAGCTCCAATACGAGGGAACAGTGGTAGCCAAGACAAAGCAGGGTGGAGCCAATAGATAAGGCTCTGCTGGAAGGCACAACGGAGCTCAGTGGAGAGTTTGGGATCCTGTATACTTTTAGGCAAAGTAACTTCTATTGCCCTGCAATGCTGGACAAGACCTTGAGCCTCTTCCTGTGCTTTCAAATGATCTGCCCAGGTAAAGGGTTGAGAACAGGTGAAAAGCAGTCGGGTTTTAATACTCCAGTCCACAGGTAACTCAGTATTTTCTGAGGACGGAATATCAGACTCGGAGAACGATACATGCAAAGTCTGGGGTAATTCAGTAACAGTTGTTCTTTCAGGGAACTTCTCTTCCCATAGCAAATCATTTTCTTGATTAGAATCTAAAAACGGGCCCGGCGCCTCCGGCTGCTCGCGGGCCGGCCCGTCGGGGAGCTCCGCGGCGACCCGCGGTCGGTTGTCCAGGCGGGCGAAAGGGTTCCTCCGGGCAGCGGCCGGGCCGCCGCCACCGCCTCTGCCCCCCGCGGCAGGGAAAGGGCGAAGGTGCAGCCCCGCCGCTAGGGCGGCTCGGCGGGCCGCCGGCTCCGGCAGCTCACGGGGCGGGGAGGCGGCAGCTCCACGGCTCCGGGCCCTTTTCTATCGGAGCCGCACTACCTCGGGCGGCTTTAGGAAGCTGGGTGAGTAGCAGGGAACCGATAGGGCCATGACGCGCGGCGGCTGAGGTCGGCCGGCCGCCTTTTTTTTTTTTTTTTTTTTTTTAGAGATGGGGTGTCACGACGTTGCCCAGGCTGGGGCCTCCCAAAGCACTGGGATTACAAGGCATGAACCACTGCACCCAGCTGATGAAGAGAAAATCTTGAAGGCAGCCTGTCTTAGTCAGCTTGGGCTACCATAGCAGAGACCATAGACTGAATGGCTTAAATAATAGATATTGGCCGGTCACGGTGCGTCATGCCTGTAATCCCAGCACTTTGGGTGGTTGAGGTGGGAGGATAGCTTAAGCCCAGGAGTTCGAGGCAGGCCTGGGCAACAAAGCAAGACTTCCATCTTTAAAAAAAAAAAAAAAATAGAGATTTATTTCTCACAGCTCTGAAGGCTGCAAACTTCAAGACCAAGGTGCTGGCTGTTTTAGTGCATGGTGAGCACCCACATTTGCATACCTCGGCCCATAGCAGGGGCTGGGGCAATGGCAGTGGACCCATCCCGGAAGCCCTCCCCTGAGACTCAAGGCCTCCAGGACAGCTCCACCCAGAAACCTCACCATCACCCCAAACTCAACAGACTCAACTGGAAACCCCTGTCATCCAGCAAAAAGAGGCCCCTCTCCTCCCAGTCAACACAGCCTCCTGGACCGTACATCTCAGTGCCCCTCAGCCAACCATCAGGTGGAGCCCCCATTTCCAGGGGAGTTGGGTTCCCAGCTGGACCTTCACGTCCTCCTCCCAGGATGGCTTTGGGTGCCTCTCAATGGCCTCTCTGACGCTGATCTGCCCTACAGAGGCATTTCCAGGCCTACTCAGCCCACAGAGGTTCCTCTGATGTCTAAATAGCTCAGCTTATGGCGCCGGATGTGGTAGCTCATGCCTGTAATCCCAGCACTGTGGAAGGCCAAGAGGGGTGGATCACCTGAGGTCAGGAGTTTGAGACCAGCCTGGCCAACACGGTGAAGCCCTGTCTCTACTAAAAATGCAAAAATTAGCTGGGCATGGTGGTGTGTACGTGTAATCCCAGCTATTTGGGAGGCTGAGGCAGGAGAATTGCTGCAACCTGGGAGGTGGAGGCTGCAGTGAACTGTGATCATATCACGGCACTCCAGCCTGGGTGACAGAGCAAGACTCTGTCTCAAATAAATAAATAAATAAACAAACATCTCAGCTTGGTCTTACTGCTCTTGTCACCTACAAATGCACCTGCACCACCACTCTCTCCCCAGCAAACATCACGCTCAATCCAGCACATGTCCCCTCATCTTTCAGGGCATTCCTGCGCCTTAGCTCCCCTGCAGAGCAGTGGAAATGATTTTCCTGCCTTCTCAGGGTAGTCTTCCCTCATTCTACTGTCTGCTTCTCCAAAACCTCACCAGTTCTCAGTGTGCACTGGAGTACCCAGAAGAGGCTGCAGAAAGTAGGAAGGAAATCAAGCTACAGATGCTGGGCCAGGCGTGGTGGCTTATACCTGTCATCCCAGCACTTTGGGTGGCCTAGACGGGTGTATCACTTGAAGCCAGGATTTCGAGACCAGCCAAGCCGACATGGCAAAACCTGCTCTCTAGCAAAAATACAAAAAAAAAAAAAAAAATTGCTGAACATGGCGGCACACACCTGTAATCCCAGCTACTCGGGAGGCTGAGGCAGGAGAATCACTTGAACTAGGACAGAGGTTGCAGTGAGCCGAGATCATGTCACTGTACTCCAGCCTGGATGACAGAGTGAGACTCTGTCTCAAAAAAGCAATTCTCTTGCCTTAGTCCCCCGAGTAGCTGGGATTACAGATGTGCACCACCAAGCCTGGCTAAGTTTTGCATTTTTAGTAGAAACAGGGTTTCACCCTTTTGACCAGCCTAGTCTCAAACTCCTGACCTCAAGTGATCTGCCCGCCTTGGCCTCCCAAAGTGATTGCAGGCATGAGCCACTGCGCCCAGCCTCAAATTACCCTTTTAAAGCAAACCAACCCACCTGTAAACCCACCATCTGGGCGAGAACATCTATTCTTCATACCTTTGCCCAAACTGGATAGACTCAATCTTCCTAATAGTTGCCACCTAGGAAGGTCAAACAATGTGCTAGGTCCAAACTAGTGTTTTTTGTTTGTTTTTTTTGTTTTTTTGTTTTTTTTTGAGATGGAGTCTTGCTCTGTTGCTCAGGGTAAAATGCAGTGGTGTGATCTTGGCTCACTACAACCTCTGCCTCCTGGGTTCAAGCGATTGTCCTGCCTCAGCCTCCCGAGTAGCTGGGACGACAGGCACCCGCCACCATGCCAGACTAATTTTTGTATTTCTAGTAGAGATGGGGTTTTGCCGTGTTGCCCAGCCTGGTCTCGAACTCCTGACCTCAAGTGATCCCTTGGCCTCCCAAAGTGCTGAGATTACAGGCGTGAGCCTCTACTCCTGGCCCAGGCTAGTATTTTTGAGTGTTTCCTTTGGTCATCCATGTTTCCTTTTCTGGAACCTAGCCCCAACTCTTCAGATAATAAAATGACTTCAGACGGAATTCTGTGTTAATTGCTCTCACAGTTTTGTCTGGCCTGTGGGGTCCTGTTGGGGGCAGGATGGAGCCGGGGGGCAGGTTAAGGGACAGAGCAGACTTGAAGGAGAGCGAGGTTGCACCGTCTCCCCAGCAGGAGGAATTGAAACTAAGGAGAGGCTGCAGGAGTCGGCCCAAACTCTAAAGTCCAAGCCCTTGGTCAACGGTACCCTCCATGGGCGTGGGGGAGGAAGGGCAGTTTCCAGGCAGCTCCACATGGGCCAGGCAGGCTGTGGGGCTGGGCCACCAGCGACTCTCCCTGCCTGACACCTCCTGGATTTGTCCTTTTCCCTCGTGTCCCTGCTTCCCACAGCACTGACGTCTGTCCAGGTGCAGGGAGAAGGAAGGAAGAGGGGTGAGGTGGGGCGGTGCAAAGGTGAGGCTGTGCTCAGTAGAACAGATAACCAGCACTTTCATTGCAAGCACGTCCCGGTCCCTGCCGCTGTCCTGGCCCTGGAACCTGCTCTGCACCAGCCCTCTGCCTGCTGGGTCAATGCAGCTGCTGGGGCTCCTCGGCCTCCTCTGGATGCTCAAGGCCTCCCTAGGGGCCACAGGTAAGGGGGAGAGGCGGGAGGGGACTGGAGAGAAGCTCCTGATGTTATGTTCCAGGGGAGTGGAGGAGAAGGTGGCTCTGAGGCCTGGAGACGGGGAATGAGGAGGGGCTGCTCTCAGCTCTGGGTGCAGGGAGAACCGAGGCATGGCTTTGGGGGGATGAGGAAGGGTTTGGTAGAGGGAAAACGGAGGTCGAGAAGGAGCCAGGGAGCTGGGTCCCCGCTGCCACTCTCCACCAAGCACTGAACAGGTTGCAGGGGCCGCACCGCAACCTGTGTCTGCAGCGGGATGGTGGAGTGTGGGAGTTACGTCTTCCCAGAGCAGTGCCCTTCCTGCCTTGGCTCCTTCTTGTCACCCGGCTCACGCCCCCAGCCCCAGTGCCCCCTCCAAACTGGCCTCTCCCTCCCCGAGAGCCCTTTGACCTCTGCTCCTGGTTTCCGACTTCCAGTTTCAGCCTCTTTGCCTTTTGTCCCCCAGCAGCTCCTCCCCAGCTCAGCTGTCACTCTCTCACCCTAGCCAGGGCCCATGTGTCTGGGCACAGCTGTTGGTACCAGGACCAGAGCAGGGAGCTTCTGAAGTCCACTTTGCTTCCAGGGGTGCGTCTGAGACTACCTGGCATGGGGTCCCAGGCTTCTCTCTTCTGCCCTGCAGAAACACCCCACAATTCCTCTGTACTTCTCTTGTGCTTGTTCTCCAGTGTCTGCCTCTGATCCCTGACCCCAGAGGCCCATGAGTTCCCTTCTCAGTCACCTCCAGGGGCACATCCTGGAGTCAAGTGGTGTAACTTGGGGCTTCTCATAATTCCTGAGCCCACTTCCCTGACACCCGCGAGCTAGGCTGAGACTTGACACCCCAGCTCTCAACCACAAGATGGGCTGTGCCTGAGGTGAGGGGCAGCAGGTCCAGTATTTTCCACTTCCCGTCTGCTGTGGCTGCCCATCTTCCTTGCCTGTGACTGCCCCCAACAGCGGGATCTCTGATCCTAAGTCACACCATCTGTGAAATGGGTTGAAATCCACATGCTGGGGTTCATGTTTGTAAACTAATGCATCCTATGGCCAAAATGGAATAGTTATAGAAAAATATGTCTATTTTTGTGATGAACACTCACCACTAAGCCTTAAGGTCTCCGGAACTCATCACACATGATTGCTGAGGTAGCTCCTTCTGGAAGTTTCCTTCTCCATCCTGTCTCTCCACCTCTCCGCGTGGTCCTCACTCCATGCCCCTTGAAGTCATTAGCGTGTGAGCTTAGCCTCTGTTTCTCCTTGATGTTACCTGTGCGGGGTTAATTTTTTTTTTTTTTGAGATGAAGTCTTGCTCTGTCGCCCAGGCTGGAGTGCAGTGGTGCGACCTTGGCTCCCTGTAGCCTCTGCCTTCCAGGTTCATGCGATTCTTCTGCCTCAGCTACAAGTGCACACCACCACACCTGGCTAATTTTTGCATTTTTTTTTTTCAGTAGAGATGGGGTTTCACCATGTTGGCCCGACTGGTCTGGAACTCCTGACCTCAGGTGATCACCTGCTTTGGGCTCCCAAAATGCTGGGATTACAGGCATGAGCCACTGCGCCTGGCCCTCTTTGTGCAGCTTTCTCTGTCTCATGGTTTTTGTGATGCGTCCCCTGCTAGGATTTGGCTATATTCTCTCTTTTTCTCTTTGAAAGCAGAGGTCAGCCCAGACAGCAGCAGGGTGCGGGGAGAAGCCACGGTGGGAGCAGAAGGTTAATGGAGGGGATGGGAGGACTCCAGGCAGGCTCAGACAGCAGCAGGGTGCGGGAGAAGCCACGGTGGAGCAGCAGAAGGTTACGGGAGGATGGAGACCCAGGCAGTAGCAGGGAGGGACAGGAAGGGGCAGAGGGAGGAGGGGCCTGGGTGACCAGAGGAGGAAGGAGGGAGGGAGGCCTGCCCAGCTTGGCTATCCCAGGACAGGAGGACCAGCTATGACAAGGCCAAGGCCGGGTGAGGAATGAACGTCCGATGCCCCCACTGCTCCCCTAGAGCAGACAGGCAGTGGGCTCCAGCACTACAAAGCGCCCAGCTCCAAGCTGCCTCTGATGCAGGAGTGAGCCGGCATGCTCCTGCCCTCTGTGATGCTGCCTGGAAAATGGGAGTGAGTGGAGTAACTTACGTTAGTGATGTGACACAAATGACCTACTTGACTTGGTACCAGTGGATTCTCTGCTCTACTGCCAATGCAGGAACTGTATCTACGGCCACATCCATCTCTCACAGGCATGCTTCCCCAGGGCGGAAGCAGCCTGCGCCTGTGCTCAGCAATTACACTCCAGAGACGTGGCTGGGCAGCCACCGGTGTCCCCAGCCTGCCTCTCCTGCCTCGGGCCACAGGAAATGTACCGTGATGCCTGCTACTCCTCCTGCATGACACTCATCTCTGAAACACTGCTCACCTCCCAGTCAGTTCCAACACCTCAACCACCCCGATGTCCAAGTTTGCTTTCAAGGTTGAAACCCGATTTCCACCCACTGTGTTGGCCTTATTCCGCCACTACTGAGGCATGTATCCAACCAGCTTTACAATCACCATCTCCCATCCCACCTCCATCTGTGGTGACTACGACGCAGGTGGCCTTCTACCAGCTTCCCCATAATTCCCCACTCCCGTGACACAGAAGCCAGTGACCACCGTCACCAGGACTTACCCTATGACCACTACTGAGAAAGGAACGTCAACCATGACATCTTCTTCCTCTACCACCACTGCAAGGGAAACTCCCATAGTGACAGTGATACCCTCTTCCGTGTCGCCAGACAACCTTCCACGCTTATGTCCCTCTACAACCAGAATCCCAGTGACTCTCTCTGCCCACTGGAAGCGTCCACACAACATGTCCTCAGCCCCAGTATTTACTACTCTCAAAACAGCGGTGATCAGCCCCACGGTCACTTCTTCAATCACTTCCATAGATACAGTGACTTCTGTGACAACGACCACCTCCCGGCCCACAGCCACTAATACACTGTCACTGCCCACAGTACCATTTTATCTTCCACACCTGTCCTGATACAGAAATAACTACCAGTGGTATCACAAACACCACTTTCTATCACACTCCGTGACCACACTCCCCACTACCATCACCAGGTCTACACCCCACATCTGAGCTACTCTGCCCTACTTCTCCCACTGCCAGCACTGTGATAGACTCCACAACCAAAATCACTCTGCTCCACAAGTATGACAGGTACATTGTCCATGGAGACTTTTCTCCCACCCACACTTTCCTCTCTCCTAACTACAGAAACAGACAGAGCTCCTATGACAAACTTGGTAAATTCACTTCATTTACCTTGTATCACTCACGTACTCTGACACCTTCTCTTCAGCCATCTACTTCTATAGTCAGTAACATCCACAACTGCCATCTCCTCACTTCTACCTCAGGTATCATAAATGACTTCCACAACCATGACCCCATCTTCTCTGACTACAGACATCCCTTCACAACACTTACCAATTATCACTCACTCCTCTGTGGGCTCTACTGGCTTCCTGATTACAGGAACAGACCCTTACATTGACATTCACTATTTCTAGTTCCTCAGCAATGTCCGCAAGTGTTATCTCCATCTTCCCAGCATCCAGAATACAGAAACCCCATCCGTCAGCATGACTCTGCCACCACTTGTGGGACACCAACTTTGCAAGTACAATACAGCACTCTTGCAAGTTCCCTTCCTGACAACCTTCCCAGCAACATATTTATTTTTTGCTCTATGTCCTGCCAGTAGTGCTGGGACCCACTCACACAGAGGCTCTGACCTTCAGCCATCACCAGTACACTCCACACAACAGTGGAATCCACCCTGTCACCTGGGCTACTACCACTTCATTCACAACTTCCACAACTATGGAACTACCTTCAACCACTGTAGCAACTACAGGAACAGGCCAGACCACCTTCCCAGCCTCTACAGCCACATTCCTGGAGACCACCACACTGATCTACAACTGACATGTCCACAGAATCTCTCACAACAGCTGTGACTTCTCCTCCCATTACTTCATCAGTCACTTCCATAAATACAGCACTCTGTGACAACTACCACACTCTCCTCCTTACAACCACCAATTATTTCATATCACTGGGACTAGTATGACTTCTGTCTTCTACACCTGTCCTAAGCATTAGAAGCAATCACCGGTGGCATCACAAACACAATCTTCCACTCCATTCCTGGTGACTACACCCACTACAAAATGTCCTTTACTCCAGTGACTACATCTGAGACCACTCCCATCCCTAATTCTCCGAGTGGTCCTGGTACAAACTCCACAGACTGAAATCACCTGTCCCACTACCATGACAGAGACATCATCCACTGCCACCTCTATTCCACCCACCTCTCCCTTGGTCTCAACCGCAGAAACAGCCAAAACTCCTACCACAAACTTGGTAACCACCACCACCACTACAAGATCACCCCCACAGTACCTCCAGCCTCACTTCTTCAAATCCATCTACTCCACAGACAGCACATACACAACTGCCATCACCTCAGTTCCCACAACCTTGGGTACCATGGTGACTTCTACATCCATGATCCCATCTACTCTGAGTACAAGTATCCCTACCTCACAACCAACAACCATCACTCCCTCATCTGTGGGCATCACTGGTTCATTACCTGTGATGACAGACCTCACCTCAGTGTACACAGTATCCAGCATGTCTGCAAGGCTAACAACTGTCGTTCCTCATCTCCCTACTGTCCAAAATACAGAAACTCTATCCTTGTCAGCATGTATTCCTGCCACCACTCCCTATGGGAGGCCAACTTTGCCAGTACACACAGCGCCCGATGTTCCCTCTCCTGATGACCTTCTCTGGGACGATTCATTTTCTTGCCTCCATGCCTGTCAGCAGTGCCTGACCACTCACACAGAGACCTCTCACCTCCAGCCATCACCAGCACACTCCACACAACAGCTGAATCCACCCCATCACCCAATCACCACCTCATTCACTACATCCACAATGATGGAATCCACTCAACCACTGTAGTAACTATAGTACAGGTCAGACCACCTTCCCCAGCTCTACAGCCACATTCCCTGGAGACTCACCACACTGACTCCCTATAACTGATATATGTCCCAGCAGAATCTCCTCACAATAATATGACTTCTGTACTCCTCCCATCACTTCTTCAGTCACTCCCACCGATACAGTGACTTTGCAAGAACGACTTCCTGGTCGCCACGTAATACGTTATCATCACTCACCAGTAGCATTTTATATCTCTAAGCACCTGTCCTGAGCACAGAAACAATCACCAGTCATAACACCAACACCACCCTCTATCCACCTCGGTGACCACACTCCCCACGACCATCACCAGGTCTAGGACTCTACATCTGAGACCACCTACACTACTTCTTCCACCAGCACAGCCACAGACTCCACGACCGACATCAGCTACCCCACAAGCATGACAGGCATTGTTCCCTGTGATTTCTCTCTCACCCACTCCTTCCTCTCCCACCGTAGAAACTGTCATGACTCCTACCAACCTTGTAATTCACCACCCTGAGACCACCTCCCACAGTGTTCCCAGCTCACTTTTCAACCGTCTACTCCGTGCCAGTACAACCACAACTACCATCTCCTCAGCTTCGTCTACTCCCAGGTACCATGGTGACTTCCCACAACCATGACTCCCATCTTCTCTGAGTACAGACATCCCTTCAACAACACCCACAACTATCACCCACTCTTCTGTGAGCTCTACTGAATCCTTGATCACAACAACAGTCCTCTCAACATTTGCTGCTCTACTACCTCACAGGTCCACAAGTGACATCCCCATCTTCCTCCAACATCCAGAATACAGAAACCTCATCCCTTGTCAGCATGACCTCTGCCACCACTCCCAGCGAGAGACCAACTCTCACAAGTACTGGCGGCACCCAGACAACTTCCTCCTGACGAGCTTCCCAGCAACATATTCATTTTCCTCTTCCATGTCTGCCAGCAGTGCAGGGACTACTCACACTGAGAGTATCTCCTCACCTCCATCCATCACCATACACACTACACAACAGCTGGATCCACCCCATCAGCCAAGCAACCACCACGTCATTCAACATTTACAACGATGGAAACACCTTCATCCACTGTAGCAACTCATACGACAGGTCAGACTACATTCACCAGTCTAACAGCCACATCCCCCTGAGACCACCACACTGACTCCTACCTTGATACATTTCCACAGGATCTTTCAAACAGCAGTGAGTTCTACTCCCCCATCACTTCTTCAATCACCTCCATATACAGTGACATCTATGACAAATCACCAACCCTCTGCCCACAGCCACTAATACGTTACCATCATTCATCAGTAGCTTTCATCTTCAGTGCCTGTCCTGCTACAGAAGCGATCACCAGTGTGGTACCACAAACACCACTTTGTCTCTCCTTGTGACCACATTATCCACCATTTACACCAGTTCTACACCTGCATCTGAGACCACTCCACCCTACTTCTCTTACTATGCTCACAGATTCCACGGTCAGAACCACCTATTCCACCAGTATGACCGGTACATTGTCCACTGTGACCTCTCCGACTCCACCTCTTTGGTCTCTTCCAACCACAGTAACAGCCACAGTTCCTACAACAAACTTGCAACCACGACCACCAAGACCACCTCACAGTACTGGTCACTTCAATCACAACCACTCTAGACCACCTCACACCGTACTCCCAGCTTCACTTCTCCAATCACGACCACTGAGACCCCCTCACACAGTACTCCTAGCTTCACTTCCTCAATCACTGTCTTGGAGACCACATCACACAGTACTCCCAACTTCACTTCTTCAATCACCACCAGTGAGAGCTTCCTGCCACAGTATTCCCAGCTTCACTTCTTCCAATCACCACCACCGAGACCCTCACACAGCACTCCCAGCTTCACTTCTTCAATAACCACCACTGACACACAGCACTTTAGCCTACTCTTCAATAACCACCACTGAGACTAATTTCACACAGTACACCCAGTTACACTTCTTTGATCACCGCCACTGAGACCACCTCACACAATACTCCCAACTTCACTTCTGATCACCACTGAGACCACCTCATACAGTACTCCCAGCTTCACTTCTTCAATCACCACCACCGAGACTACCTCACACAGTACACCCAGATACACTTCTTCGATCACTATCACTGAGACCACCTCAAACAGTACTCCCAGCTTCATGGATCACCACCGAGACCATCCCACAGTACTCCCAGCTTCACTTTTCTGATCACCATCACTGAGGTTCACCTCATAGTCTCCTCCCAGCTTCACTTCTTTGATCGGCCACCACCGAGATCACCTCACACAGTACTCACAGCTTCACTTCTTCGATTGCCACCACCGAGACCACATCCCACAGTACTCCCAGCTTTACGTCTTTGATCACCACCAGGGAGACTCCTCACAGGGTACTTCCAGCTTCACTTTTCGGTAACCCACCTCTGAGACCCTCACACAGTACTCCAAGCTTCACTTCTTCTCGATCACAATCAATGAGACCACCTCACACAGTACTCCCAGCTACACCACCTCAATCACCACCCACCGAGACCCCTTACACAGTACTCCCAGCCTACTAACCATTCACCACCACTGAGACCACCTCAGTACTCCCAGCCTACTCTTCGATCACCACCACTGAGACCACTCCCTTGCCACGGTACTCCCAACTTCACTTCTTTGACCACCACCACCGAGACCACATCCCACAATTCTCCCAGCTTCACTTCCTCAATCACTGCCACCCGAGACCACCTCTACACAGTACTCCCAGCCTACTCCTTCAATCACCA